ATCAATTACTGTTGGCACAGGTTTAACCAATTTGTAAGCCGGCACCATGCCATGTGAACAGATGGCATGAGGTAGGCAGCCAAACAGCCACGTATGTGCATCACTTGTGGGTAGAGATGGCACTATTCCCAGCCATGAAGTTCCAAACAGTTGTCCATCCTAATCTTCAGACTTATGCTTGTAATGAATAATCACTATAAACTAGATTAACTTTCAAATTATATATTAAATATGTTTTTGTGCTGGGATATTTTATTGTAAAAATGAAGATAAAATTAACTTTTTTCCCACTTAGAGAAGAATTCATTTTACTTTTGTATTACACTACCCTTTAGAATAAAACCAGCCAAATTTCTTTGAATCCGATCACTGGAGAATTTTCCTATTGTGATGGAATGCAGAAACTGTATGGTAACTGTGCAGACTTCCCTCCCCCCTTTTTTCCAGCCAGTAGAATAAGGAGTATAAATGAATTTAAAGAAGCATCAGGTCAATGACCTTGTATGATATTTTTTTTGAATGCTTATGTAATTTATCTTTTTTCATTGTATATATTGCAAGAATGGATATAGTTATTATAAATTCATACATGAATGGAATACCAAAATAACCCAAATGTGCTTTTTTATTTTCAAGAAGCAACTGGACTTTCTTCTTTTTCCTTGAAGACATTTTGTTTCTCATCCAAGCAGCTTCTTCAGCTCTGACTGGATAGAATGAAGGGATCCTTTGGGAAAACCATGTCCTGGATGACTGAGAATCTTCATAAAACAAATATTGAAATAATTAAAATAAAGTAAAATATGCCAAACTATGGCTGAGGAACTAATAACTAACACTGTCTCTCTTTCTATTTTTGTTTTAACTTGATTGTTGGTTTTTTAGCAAGTTTTAATCTGGTCATAAAATGCCTTTTCCAGTTTCATTAGAAGACAAATTATGGCTTCTGAGAACTCAGAAGTAGTTTTAAAAAGAAAAAGAATCATGTCATGTATAACTTTAATCTATTGAATAAACAACAGATTGAGCTCAATATAATGTAAGACCATGGTGATTGTGTTCACATAGTCAATCAAAACTAAACAAACTATGCTATTGCTTTACATGTGGATGAATTTGACATTGTATGAATAAGGTACCCAAGTCTGGTATTGCTAAATCATGATTCAATACTACCTATGATTAAGACTGGTAATTCTTCTTTAGTAGTCATACTGTTTTTTTTTTTTTTTTAGTTTTATTTGTCATTTATAGGCCGCCCTTTTCCCTGAGGGGACTCAGGGCGGCTTACAATTCGTGGGAAGGAGTGCA